AAGAGGGGTAGGAATATTTTAAACATTTTGTAAATCAATTTTTCACCATAACTGAAGATACAAGAATCTTTGCTGTTTCATTTTAGGCTTTTGCATCCTTGAGCCTTTTAACTGAAAACGCTGCATAGAGTATACAAGCTTTTTCCAGCTTCATACAAAATACAAGTCATAATTTCCTATAGATTTTCTACATTCAGATAAACAAAAGCTTAAAGGTTTGGGGTATTCTATTGATCGGTCTATATATAAACACACACACATCTATAATTAATCTGTTCTAAAGAACTAATGACACTTGTTCTGTGACAAGAGTATCGCTTTGCTTTGTTTCCTAAATATTTACAGTTTTGTAGGTAGAGGTCCAATGACAAAACTAACAAAGAAAAAGCACCAAACAGCAAATGAATACTATCTTCAGTTTTTGGTTCAAACAAAATCTAATACATGTATACAGTTTGTATATAAATGTATAATTACTGATAACATGTCATTATATAACATAGGCAAGATTTCATTTTTAATTTGAGATGAGTTGAAAGTCATATGAGTTAAAGCTATAATCCATGGAATGTATGTAAGAGAAGATTCTTTTCCCCAGACTAGTATGTTTGTATCTATATATTCATATAAAAAAAGTACATGTAGGTATAGGCATGTCATCAAAGAGCAAATATACAGTACCTTTCACTATCTTATCCAAATAGTGAGCTTGAGAATTAAAAAGAAAAAAAAGACAGACATACATTTCAGAAGTGTCACATAAAACAAGAATTGTTCAGAATTCACATGCAAATCAAGCAGGTGCACCTGACATGAGAGGTCTTACATTACAAAATGAAAATGTATTTCAAAGCTTTTAAAAATGCAAGAAATTCTCTTTTCAGCAAACATCATCATGATTCAACGAAACTATTTTAGAAAGGAGGCCTGCAGAAGAAAGAGATGCTACCTTTCTGAGACTATGTTTTTCTTCCGAATTCTCTTCACATGCTTTGATTTTTATGTATAACAAAAATAAAATCAAAGCTAGTTAAAAAATTCAATTTTTAACACAATGTAAGAGTAATTACTTAGCTTATGAGCTTCAAAACACTGACCATATTGGAAGATCTTTGATTTCCAGGTCACATATGACTGACAGCGTAACCAGCACACTATCTTAATTCTGCTTGGATTAACAGGATATTTAGGAGGAATAGTTTTCTTCTGCTTCAATTCAGCCACAGCTACTCTTCCAAGCACACACACCAAGTATGTAAAATAAGTTAGATCGTATATATGGGGTGGAAGTGGGTGTCATGGGGTTAGTAGTGTGGTGATCCATTTGATTTGGAAAAATGGGTGAAAATTTAACTTATGCTTTAGATGTATAAAAATAAATAACATGGTATATCCAAGAATAGCAAGACTTCAAAATTTCACAAAAATTTTGAGGATGCAGATGGATGAATGACAGAGAGAGAACAAGATGGGATTTAAAGTAGCAGGCCCTGTTTTTAATATATGAAACACAGCAGAGATGGGTTATATGTTCCCTCCTTACTTTCAGGTAGCAGGTATCAACTGCAGTTGTGTTAAAGGGGTCAATGTCATACAGCAAAACCACATCGGACAGGTCCACCCAGGCTACTAAATCCAGCCACTGGCACATAAGGTGACAGGATATTACAGACCACGGCAGTGGGGACAGGCCAAGTTGAGTGTCAACAATGTTGGATTCAACCCCCTGTTTTTGCTGTGGACAAGGTCTCAACAGAACCCTCATGGGCTCTCTTACTTTCAAAATCTGACCTTTTCTAAATCCCTGCTGGATGATGGCCCCTGTCTGACAAGTACTCTGTAACTTGCTGTTATCCCTCAGCTTTGTGTACTGGATGGATAAAAAAGGCATTTCCAATCACGGCCTTTCCTCCAGTATCCCTGCTGGATGATGGCCCCTGTCTGACAAGTACTCTGTCACTTGCTGTTATCCCTCAGCTTTGTGTACTGGATGGATAAAAAAGGCATTTCCAACCACAGCCTTTTCTCCAGTTTGGATGAGTGAGAAAAAAGCTCTTCCCAAGTCCAAGGAGGGAGGTGATGAGGTACGTAGTCTCACAGAAGCCACAGTCACTGCTACGACTAAGAGGTGGAAACATTCTAGTCCCTCTTGAAGAAGAAGAAAGTGTCAGGTGTCTACTGCACAGTTGCTGTGTTGTGTTTTTTTTCTATAATGGTAAGGTTAAAGGTAGACAAAAGAAGAAGATGAAAACATCAATTACAGAACATTTAGAACAACAGCAACAAACTAAATAGCTTTTTACATTAACCACAAACAAAAAGAAAAGTGATACAGCTGCATTTCAGGGTGGATCAAATTCTTCCCTTACTCATCCAATATAATTCCCCTTGCTCCTACACAGCTGATCTTAGAACACGGTATAGTATGTGTGGAGGAAAAATCAAGCTTTATTGCATAAAGTGGAAGCAATTAGGACTGTCTGAGGAATGCACCTGCCCATCAGTGAAACATTAAATGCCTCTACAAATGTACGGATAGGTAACAAAACAGAACATAAAAAAAACTGCCTGAGCAACTGAAAACAGTTCCTGCAATCCCAGGCCCCCACAGGCTATTTCCTTTCACAAATCCAATCTGCATTTAAAAAACCAAAAAGGCTTAAGAAAATGCTCTTCAAGATTTCTTGTATCCAGTAGTCTTACAAGAAGTCAGTTCTACACCATAAAACTATAATGCTTGGAAAACAAGTTCTACCTTCCAGCATCCTTTTACTCATGGTCAGTTGATATTAAGGACAACGTTAGAAACTATTTTGGTTACCAGGCAGCATCCTAGAAGAATCAAAAAGCAGAAAACAAGTGACCAAAAATAGTATAACTTTGCAGTGAAGTTTAACTAGCCATGCTGTCTTCCTTATCTTCATAGCACTGCAACTGAAACAAGAATAAACCCAGCTCTGTGAGGAAGTACAAAACACAAGCATTTTTCCCTCTGTATAGAGAATTCTAGGTGGAATTTGGAGCACTTTAGTAGGATGGAGTATCTCAGCAGGTGCTCCTTGGCAAGATATTTACACAACTGGGTTATATTAAGTCCTAAAAAAGTCTAATTATAGACAATATGCCTACAAGGGTTTTCTTGCAGGGTTTAAGACTGTGAAATTTAGAATCTTGCTATTATTTCCAGGAGTAGAGGGACTTCCTATAGCTCCAAGTGGAATGAAGAAAAACAAAAATGAAGATATAAAATTTGTACATTTTCTAGGAGAGTCAAAATCCAAGAAGATGTAAGTGGCATTCAAAATTCATACAACATAAAATATAAATTATGTTATCGATGTCTGTGGATATTTATATAAATATGTGGTAGACAAATGTATTTTACAAAGAACTGGTAACAGTCAGGCAAATTCACATTTAAAACAGTATATTTCATAACCAGTCAGAACCGTTACTTTTTTTTTTTTAAATGTAATGTCTCCCATTAGTTTTCTATCAGAGATGTTAAGTCAGTGTCTTCCGTATATTATCCATATGCTGCTTCCTCCAGGTATGACAGAATAGCCACAGAATAAAAGCACATATTAAATCCATTTATCCCAATCAGCTCCTGTTTAAATCAGCGTGAGTCACATACCCATTGATTTGATGTTCCTTAATTGGTACTTATAAATCTGCTTTATTCTGATTATTCTGTCATAAAGGATTATAACAGTGACATGCTTCTAAATACCCCATGGCAAATTTATAGTTCTATTAGTTTACTTTATTATCCTCCACCAGAGATCTTCACCCATCATAATCTTTGTAACCTGTACACTAGACTACAACATGCCACATATTTTTTGTAGTGTATATATAGTCCCATTCCAGTGTCAACTCAACAGCTCCACAAGACCCACAGGTTACTTTGCTGTAAGAGCACAATTTGACCTCATAGCACCACCACACGTGAAGCAAAAATACAAAAGAATGTGACCAAAGCCATGTTGATCGAGGTCTGCCTAAGGCAAAAACAACTTTTAAGGTTTTTGCTTCCTACACCTTGAAAGGGTGAGCCGAACCCTTGCCTCTTCACTAATACTGTCAGCTTTCTCCCTTCCTTCCTATGTTACAGCCTCTCCCTCTAAAACTTTATGTTCCTGATTTTGCAACTTTACTGAAGTTCTTTTAACATGTTTTTGGGGCATTTGAAAGTTCTCAAGTCCTATGCACATAAACTGGAAAAAAGGAAGGGGCTGGGGGGGGGCGGAGCGGGGAGGGGAGAAGAGATTCCATTCTGTGGCATAACTTTTTTTTTTCATGGTGAGCAATGGGGAAGCTTAGACGACCCACCAACGCTTCTGCCATTCGTGCTAACAAAGCGTTACGAACATTACTTCTTACTCGCTGCGCAGCCAAGCAGTAGCAGTAGCAAGGGATGAGGCTCACACTTTAGCAGTGGTTTCACAGACACCTGCCAACAGAGGAGAAACTCCGAGAGTTTCACTGCAAACTTTAGGGAGAATGCAGTTTGTGTAAACAGGTTTTTGTACTTGTTTTGGGGGAACTGGTACAAAACTCAGAGTTGACAGCTCTGGTCTGACCCCTCTAACCTATGCAAGACTCCGTCCGTGGTGGTTTACTTCTCCTAACCTGGCAACCGGATCACCCTTAAGTTCCTCTCATTTCCACCTAGCCACAGTTTAACTATCCCAACAATTAAAACATCTTTTGAATGTAAAAAACCAAATAACCCTTTTGATATTTAAACCATATATTTCTTATCCTACCCACAGCAGACTTAGGGAATCGTGTATTGATTCCTTTAAGCAACTGCCTGTACTCTGAGAGTGACTAAAAAAAGCCATGCATCCATATGCAATTTCTGAGGAGCTCCATACCTCTACCAGAAAATTTACAGAGTCTAGAATTCATAAAATCTTAAAGCCGCTATTCTAGCCTGTCTTCAGAGTGGTTCACTCATGTCAAATTCATCAACCACTACAGCTTCTTCTGAGTCTCTTCTGCCTGGCAAGCTGCCTCCTAACTTCAATTTGTGCAGCTGATTATACTCAAGCACAGAACTCAGCATTTGTTGAATTGCACCTTATTTTTCTGCATAGGCTGTGCTATTTGTTAAAGTAATTTTAAATTCTTGTCCTGTCTTCCAAAGTGCTTGGGGGCAGCGGGCTTTGGTATCATTTGCAAATGTAATTCTCTCTATTCATCACTGAACAGTACTGAAAGCACATGTTCTTCCGCTGTAAGCAGCTCATGGTCATCATCCTTTCTCTGAGTTTATCGGAACCTTGTCTTAGACACACCATATGTTCAGAGTATTGCTGCCAATAGAGGAGGATTACAAACACTCCTCCCTTCTGATACTTTTTTACTCCTAAATTCCCATCTTGCCCTTCTTGTAAATGAGAACACATGGATGGAATAATAGTTTCAGGCAATTGTCTTTGTTTTCCTCCCTACATAGGACAAAACATAATCCTCACCCTGAAATCAAACCTTCTTCACAATTTCCACACTTTTCTCCAGTGTCCATGTAGACCTGCAGCAGACATACCTGCTGCACACGTTTCTGCAGAGACCTCAATTCACTGCAATTTATCCCTTGCCAAAACCGCAAATGTTTGTTGCAGCAACCATTTATGGGTTTTGACGTACAAAGGCACATAAGCCACACTACCCTTTTTCTGCAGTCCATCCCAATTTTA